TTCAGAACAGGGGCTGTGCATTACTTTCCATGGTTTCCCCTGAGAAAGCACAGTGGCTGGCATAAATAAGGCCATTAGTAAATGTCAGTTGAAGCAATAAATGTATGAATATTAACTGAATACTGAAAACTAAGCATGCACAGGCTTGTGTCTGGTGGACACTAGCGGTGACATCCCTGAGGGATGGTCCCCTAACCTGTCAGCACCATGAACCCAGTATGGTATGGCCTCTTGCTGGCTGAGATGGCCTTACTCTGTACAAAGAACAGGCTTTGGAGGTACGAGACTTTACCCGTGTGTCCCCAGACAAAGAACTTGCCCGTGCTAAGCCTCAGTGTCCTCATCTCTGCAATGTAGACCACTGATCCCCACCAAATGAGCAAATCTTTCAGAACAGGGGCTGTGCATTACTTTCCATGGTTTCCCCTGAGAAAGCACAGTGGCTGGCATAAATAAGGCCATTAGTAAATGTCAGTTGAAGCAATAAATGTATGAATATTAACTGAATACTGAAAACTAAGCATGCACAGGCTTGTGTCTGGTGGACACATTTCATGGCTGTGGTGAGAACAAAGCAATGTCCTTTAAGTGTGCAGAACATTGATGAGCATGATCAGAATGTGGCTGTGCTTGTAGGGCCCTGGCTGTTGAGATAAATGCATGATTTATGTGTACATGTTTGTGGCTGTGGATCATGCCCAAATGTCCCTGAGTACTATATATCTCTCATGTGGCATGTTGCATGATTAACTGGGCAGCTGCAGTGTCACGCTGTCTCATGTGGCTCAGACCATGTTGGGAGCTGCATGTCTGCATGTCCACGGGCCTCAGGTAAGCCTCTGCTGGCAGGGTTGAGTAGGGTAGGCCTCATGGCTGTTACAGAAACTCCAGGGCCAGATCTGCAGGACCGCAGAGCCTCTAAGAAGGCTACTGGTTGAGCCACTAGCTCTCCAGGGAGAATCAGCAGAGCTTCGTGTTTATGGGCACAGACTGTGCTCTGATGAACACTAGTTCAAATCCAGACTCTGAACGTCTCCACTTTAGCTCTCTCATCACATAAACCCAAGATTATCACAAATGTCCTACTACCTCACAGGATTATTGTGACAAAATGAGAAGAGGAAATGAACATGGAGTAATAAGAGCCCATAAAAGCTGGTGAGTTGCACAGTCTGATGGCCATATTGACCAGCAGCCCTATCGGGTCAGCACTGACGGGAGCTGCCTTTTATCAAGAACACAGCAGGGACTCATCCTTTCACACTGTTTGAATCCCCATAACAGCCTGAAAAGTAGTTACATCTATTTCACATCTTAAAGACCTGAGGCTCAGAATCTAGATGACTTGCCCATGTTTGCAATTAGCCAGTGGCAATGGTGCTCTTCCGAGCTGGGTCACACAGCAGGCTATGCTGTTTCCAGAACAGCAGGCTGTTCTCTGAGAGTCAGGTTCTGGCCTAGGGGATGGTGAGGCTCTGGCCAGACCATGGTTAAGGGACTGGATCCTCACTACTCCGCTCCTTAGAGAGCTCCTGAGCGACATCAGCCAGGCTGCTTAATTCTGCTGATCTTCTCTTCTCCCCGCTCCCTATAACTGTATGCATTTTTATGCCCAATTTTATTCCAGAAAGAATATAAGGCAATTTATAGAAAAGCATAGAATAAAACAAAAACAAAAAAAAAGGAAATTTAAATATGGAAGCAACAGAGGAAAGATAAAACAAGTCACAAAATGACTTATAGAATGAGGCTAAACTAATGCATACCATAATATTCCATGCTCCCTCTTATGAGTAAGCTAAACAAAAAAAAAGGAAATTTAAATATGGAAGCAACAGAGGAAAGATAAAACAAGTCACAAAATGACTTAAAGAATGAGGCTAAACTAATGCATACCATAATATTCCATGCTCCCTCTTATGAGTAAGCTAAAGCCATAATAGCCACATCCTGAAGCCAGTTATTCTCTTTTCCAGACAGATATAATTGCAGGTGCTTTCTTTATTCAACAGTTGTAGAACCTGCTACACAGTAGGTGCTCAATAAATGGCTATTAAGTTGCTAAACATTTATTGAATGCCCACAATGCATGCTGTCATCTGCAAACCTGTTATAGCACATAACCCCGGCCACACACACATACATCCACACCTGTCCTCTGCCAAAGCAGAGGAGTGGATCCATATTCGAGGAAATAGCTTAGTTCCCTGGATGAAAGGAAAGATGATTACAGCAGTTCCAGATAAGGCTGGGATCTGCCATTTATACAGACTTTTTTCTGCCAATGGTGTAGAGCGTTGCTCCCCGGACCAGCCCTCTTCCCTACCCTGAGGCACGCCCAAGCCAGGGGCAGCTCACAGTTCTGCATGCACAGTGCAGCAGAGCCCCTTAAAGGACCACTGGCAGCTGTCAATTGGCGACCTGAGGTCTGAGTGTCCCTTCAAAAGTAGACACCTGTCTGCACGGAGGAGGCTGAAGCAGATACTGTGGGGGAACAGCACAGCTCACTGGGGACATTTACTCACAGTGACAGAGCACACAGCTTCTGATAAAAGTAAATAGTAATAAATCACTTCTTGCCAGAATGACATGGAAATAGGACTAGCTACTTTCATTTATGGTGACCACTGGGGTGGGGAGAGCAGCCCACAGGGTCCCTGTCAGAACAGATCTCATATAGAGTGGACAGGTGGTGTACAGGCCTGTTCCAGGGCCAGCCTGCTTCTTTGGAATCCCTCACCCTGACACTGGCCTTGGACCATTGCCTCTGGAGCCACACAAAAGATGTCATTCCTTCTGCACCTGGCAAACCTTATGATATTGGGGGGAACAACCACAGAGCTCCCCATTTCCCCCCTCCTCTCCAGGTTGAGTATTTGAAAGTCCTCCACTAACTTAGTTTGAGTTCCCTGCTGGTCTGACTCTGTTTAGCAACCCAGCCAAGACCCACACTCCCCGGTCAATATCTGCTCCCTCCAAGGTGTCAACATTCACTTCTGCACTCTCACAGGAGATATCTGAGTAGCAGGAGCACACGCGGACTTGAACCTTCCCTTGCTGGGGCCCTGAGCTCCCATGAGCACTGTTTTGGGGCACATTAGCTGTCTTGGTGTTGCTGGCTTGTTGGCCCCACGGCTCTCTTCCCGTCTGTTCTAGAGACGTTCACAGGTTGATGGTCTGCAGAATCGCCCTGAGCCTCCCATCTCAGAAGACCAACTGGTATACCATCAGTGTGTTGTAAATCTTGGAGAGAAGCTGTTCTTTCTCCTTGTCTTTAATCTGAGCCACTGATAAATCACTACTCTTCCATCTCTCTTGTCATCTCTCTTTGCTCAAGGGAGCAGAGGCAGGCACAGAAGGCATACTTGATTAGATTATAGAGAAAATCAAAAAGCCTCATTTACCTTAATTAGTCCTACCCCCTTTCCCAAGTTTGCAGACTGAATGGACTGGTTACAGGCCCTCCTCCTCAGCCTTTCCTGGTGGGTCTGGGCTCAGATGCTCATGAGGGGAAGAAGGGCCCAGTCTGGATATCCAGGAGGTAGGAGAAGGGAGGAGGTAGGGCTTGGAGATCCATAGCAACATGGGCACAGTGCTGGGGCTCAGGAGCCCTGACTTCTATGCCCAGCTCTGCCTACAGCTGGCTAAGTGACCCTGGGTTTCAGAGCTACCTTCTCTGAGCAGTGGAAAGTCAAAAGGATAATCTCTAAGGACTCACACTCTTCAAATGGATGCTCCTCAGTGGGAATGTCAGAATTTATTCATGTGCTGCCCTTTTGATTGCTATTTAGTATATCAGCTTTTTGGCAGTTACAGCCTTTTATACAAGATACATTTATTTTTAAAAGTGATTATTAGGCCTTATCAGATCCTATTCATTATTCATTTATTGGGCAAACTCCTACTCATCCTTCAGGCCTCTGGTGTCACCTCCTCTGGAAGTCTTCCTGGGTCTCCTGGGTCTGGTCAGATGCCCTCCCCCCTCTGTCCCCTCCACCCCGAGCACCCTGAGAATGTCTTCACGCTGGCACTCGTGCCCTGGGCTATTGCCTGCTCACATCACAGTGCCCCCTGAGACAATTTGCCTTCATGGGAAGGACCATATACCTCCCCTTTTCATCCCACACCCACCCAGGCCCTAGGCAGGGGTGGAGGAGGAGGCTGCACTGGGCACAGCTGGTGCTAAGGAGAATGGGATGAACAAATGAGTTTGTGCTGACCCTCATCTCCCAGGAGAAGGTTACTCTCCCCCCCCGCTGCTGGAGTCCCCTGGCTGCTGGAGTCACTGCACTGACCCTGCCTACCTCTGGGAGAAGAGGTCCCTGTAGGGGCTTCCATGTTGCAGGGCAATCCCGTAGCCCTTGCTGCTGATGCTGTTGCCGATGACAGTCACTGAGCAGTCGTCGTCCGTCAGGGCTGCATACTCCACCACGGCCACGTCCCACAGAAAGGCATAGTTCCCCTTCTTTGCCTGAAAGACCAAAATCACCATGAAGTCAGGTGGACCTGGCCTCCTCCTCCAACAGCAAGGCTTCTCAATGGTGGGAGTCGAGGGACTCATCCTAAATGGTCCTCCTGCCCACCAGCCAGCACAGCAAACTCTCTTGCCATTTTTTTGGCTGAGTGGCACCATCGGTTGGTATCACTCATTTTGCTTAGACAGAATAGGTCTGTGGGCTTCAGCCACAGTACATCGCGTGGACAGGTGCAGGGAAGATGAGCTGGACATGGGCTCTAAGACTAGCTTCCTGGTCACAGTGGCATGAGCCTGCTTCTCATATTAGGGGGCTCACGCCTGGAGAGGGAAGGAAGCCTAACCCCAAGGGATTGAGATTCTCAGATCAGTGACGTAGGGGGAGCTTAATAGTGTGAGGATGAGGGAAAAGATCTTCCTTGGAAAACACTGTCCCTAGGGCGGGGCTCACGCCTGGAGAGGGAAGGAAGCCTAACCCCAAGGGATTGAGATTCTCAGATCAGTGACGTACGGGGAGCTTAATAGTGTGAGGATGAGGGAAAAGATCTTCCTTGGAAAACACTGTCCCTAGGGGAAGTGGAGGATAGGACTGTGATAAACCTTATCCACTTAATACTTCTACTTAGAACGTGACTGAGCCCTGCTTTGAGTGAATGTGGGCAATGGCCCTGGGTTCAGTGCCCCCAAGTAGCCATTACTTAATACCTAGCACAAGCACGTGTAGAGCTTGCTATGCATGGGGAAAAGCCCCTTAAGGGCAGGGCCTTACTTATATAGTTCTAGGCTGGGCTTCTGTCACTTGCCTTCTACTGTTCACATATGAGGGTGTGCACACACCTGCACACACACACACACACGTGCACACACATGCACATTCACGTATATGCATGTGTCTACATATGCACACACATACACTCCAGTGCACACACCTGCACACACACACGTGCACACACATGCATGCACACGTACACATAAACATTCATGTATATGCATGTGTATACATATGCACACACATACACTCCAGTGCACACACATGCACACGTACACATAAACATTCACGTGTATGCATGTGTGTACATATGCACACACATACACTCCCGTGCACACACGTGCACATACACATACAGAGCAGGTTTCTGGTGTCAGTGTTTACATTTCAGTGCAGTGGTTGCAGATTACTCCATCAAGAACTTGCCTGCGGCCACAGCTAAAGTCCTACACCATCACAGCCATGTACAGTAGACTTTCAATTCTATCTTGAGCCACAGTTCTAACTCTGCCTGGAGTTTGCACACTCAGAGGGAATGCAAGTTCCTTTAGTTTTTGGAAGGAGATGCAAACTAGACATTGTCACTTGGCCATATTAAAATAGAGCATCGTGTCCTTAATACAGCAAAGAGCTTGGTTTTATCTCTCCAGTGAGCACACAGACACGTCTTTGCCCTTCTCTCATGCACACACACGTGCATACACATGCATGTACACGTACACATAAACATTCACGTATATGCATGTGTATACATGTGCACACACATACAATCCAGTGCACACACGTGCACACACACACGTGCATACACATGCATGCACACGTACACATAAACATTCACGTGTATGCATGTGTGTACATATGCACACACACACTCCAGTGCACACACGTGCACATACACATACACATACAGAGCAGGTTTCTGGTGTCAGTGTTTACATTTCAGTGCAGTGGTTGCAGATTACTCCATCAAGAACTTGCCTGCGGCCACAGCTAAAGTCCTACACCATCACAGACATGTACAGTAGACTTTCAATTCTATCTTGAGCCACAGTTCTAACTCTGCCTGGAGTTTGGACACTCAGAGGGAATGCAAGTTCCTTTAGTTTTTGGAAGGAGATGCAAACTAGACATTGTCACTTGGCCATATTAAAATAGAGCATCGTGTCCTTAATACAGCAAAGAGCTTGGTTTTATCTCTCCAGTGAGCACACAGACACGTCTTTGCCCTTCTCTCCTACCACAGCTCACACTAGATGCTGGAAAACCTCAGGATGGGCTTAGAGACTGGGCTGAAGCACCACAGTCAGTAGACTAAACTTCTTGGCATAGTCAAGAGCATTATCCCTGGATCCTGCCATTGTTCAGTTGAGTCTTCATGACTCAACTGAGACTTTCCAAAAAGTCTATAGCTGTGTAGATGAAGCTAGTCAAGATGTCACTTCTTTCAAGATCCTAAGTGCCCATGACCCTAGATGGTGCACTTTCTAGACAGAAGTTCTCCATCAGAAGGATTGGTGGGCAGAGTGGGAATAGGTGGAATCCTGGCCATTCAGACAATTTTGCTGAACAACCTTGTAAGAAATGACACACACCTGTGCCACCCATGACTGACATCCCAGGGAGCAATCCAAATATTATACCAAAGCCTCATTTCTCCACCAATCCAATTTCAGAAGTCCAAAAGGACTCTGACCCAGGTTGCAAAATTATACACATCTCTCTCCCTCCACGAGGGAAGATAACAGTCTTTGAAATTTTTTCCTGCTGGCAGGCAAGTTTTCTCATGAAAAGACATAAATTTTCAACCCCTTAGCAACCAAGTTTCTCAGCAAAATGTTGACTTATGACCTAATATTTGGCTTCAGTGAGACTTGGAAGCATTTCACATCCATGCTTGCAATCCAACATGACAATCAGACATTGATATTTGTACGATTTCAAAAGGGCATGTCATGTTGAAGGAAGAATTAAGATCAGGTTCGTTTCTATCTTTCAAGTGATGTTCCAAGAAGGAAAAAGAAATAAGCTGGCTCAGATCGAGTGGAAACTGACTCTTAGGAAAACCAGGTGTGGACACTCTAATGGGACACTTGGGTTCCTTCAAGCCACAGACATCTGTGGCTCCACTTTGGGCTCAGGAACAGGTGAGTACACTGCACGGAGAAAGGTGCATTTACCATCCTGCTGGACTAAGTTGAGGAGGAGACATCTGGAAGGGAAGCTGGCCATATCACAGCTGCAAATGCTTGCTAACCAGGACAGCAGTCAAGAAGGGACCTGCTGGGTGACCCCAGACACTCAGTGTCCCCATTTTTAAACAGGGACTAAATTTACCATTATGTTTCATGTGTCTGCTTCCCTAATCTACTTGACAGTGCCACAGTGGGAGGACCTGGAGAAGGTGATGTGCCACTTTTTGTGATGGAGGCCGATTCAGAAGCCCCAACGGCTGCAGGCTGGGACAGATTCTGGCTCTGTGCTCTCCATTCCCAGCATCCTTCCCTCACTTCCTCATCATCCCAGAGCTTCTTCGACCCTCCTCTGTCAGTCCCACACTGAGTAGGATGCAGCAGCAACATCTCCCCTGGGGTCCCCAAGTCCATCAATTTCCAGGAGAACTTTCTGGACCCTGCAGACATCTCCCCAACCATTCTTGTGGGTCACAGAGCCTGTATGAAACATAAAGCTTCTTAGTTCTGACCATGCTGTCAGGAACTTGTCAGGTGCTAGCTGTAAGAAATTAAAACACCCCCACCCACCATGACTCTGTCACCTCTAAAGACCCTCTTCTTGTCCCTTGCAGAATGAGCTCCATTCCCTCCCCACCAGAAAGAAAAAAAAAATTCTGCAATGTACTTCTTCCTTGCAGCAGCAGAAGCAGTTTTCCATGTGGACCTTAGAAAGCTACCTCCTTCTTCTGTGCTGCTTATATTCACAGGCCTGGCTTCCCCAGACGTGGGGGACACTGACTATATCAAGCATCTGCCTCCAGGAGCCAAGAATCTCCTCTGTTCCCCATCTCCCCATACAGGCTCGCGCCCCTCCGTTCTCAAGTCTCAGCAGTGCGCGCCATTCGGTCCCTCGGTTCAGCTCCCTGCTCTGCTGGCCCAGCCTCTTCCCTAGTCTCTAGTTTCACTGGGACAGCATGTCTATCCCTCTCCCTCCATTCTCCAACCCCTCACCTCCATGTTGAGACCTCTCACGCTCGGAGGCATATGCCATTTCCTATTTATATTAACTACTCCTTCCTGTTGAGTATTTCTTTACAGGGCCTTGGGAAGACAGAATATACAGGCAGCGATCCAGCCTTCTCTCAAGTGTGTGCCATGGGCTGGTGCTCACAGAGGGAAGGGTGAGCCCAGCCTCGCCCCTCCATACATCCCAGCGTCCCTTGACCAAGTGTCACAACAAATTGTCAGATTCGCTATTTTTGTCACTTTCTGTTCCTACCAGTTCCTTTTTCTTTGTCTTTCCTAGGGCTGTCCTTTCCCTACTTCCCAGGTGGCTGGGAAGACGATGTCTGGGAGCAGGCATGAAAGGCAGTGAGCCGTTTACCAACAGGTTGTTGACATTTATTTCAGTATGCCTAAAAGATAAAAGTGATGCCACAGATCCGTGTTCTGCGATTAAAACAAAACAAAAGCAAACAGTGTATTTGACCTCTTCAATGGGTTAAATTACCTTTATCTGGCTAGCACGTTTATAACATTAAGTGTATTCTGAATCTCCAAATACTGGTTTGCCAGGTACCAGTACCTTGGAACGTGGCTGTTGGAACATTAGGCTGGAGACGTGGCCGTGGATAAAGTGGGGCATCCTCCAAGCCCTCGGCTCTATGCAGAGCCTGTGGGCAAAGACACCCAACTCCCCAGTCCCTTTTGACCCTAGAGAGCCCTCAGGACCCCAGCCCAGGTTTCCTCCAGGAGCTATGAAACATATTTGCAGATTAGCTAAGAAAGGAGAGGTCTAAAAGTTAATATATCCTAGAAATGGAATTTGGCTACTTCCACAGTGTTTTGCTATGTTTTGTCTTGTTTTTGTAATTGATAATATCCAGTGTTGGCAAAGTTGTGATAAAATGGGCATGGTCCTTCCTCACAGAATGATATGACCTTTGGAAAAAATGCAACAACACTTAACATAAACATGGAAACCCGCTCATATCTTTTACCTGGCAAACTGGGAATTTAACATAAAAAGTAACCCAGGTATATCTAAAAGATATGAAAAATATTTTAAGTCTAGAGTTAACTATAAAATAAACACATGAACAGTTTAGATATTTGGTGTTAGGTCAATAATTCTTAAAATTATGGTTCACAAATTTTGGTTATGATGCAGTCTTCTGCAACACATATTAATGATGAAGACTTTGCATAAATGCAACATATATATTTATTTAATTGATCTATATTTATATATCCACTTAATTAAAGTAGCAGAAACAATAGATAGACACAGTGTTATTGATAGACACAAATTATTGCCGTTCTGTGTACATGTGTACACATATTACACATGTGTAATATGCCAAAAAATGGACAGAATTGTTACCTAACGGAGTGGGATAAATGATGATTCTTATGGTGATTTCCTTAAACTCTTTTCTTTAACCTTGTTAGTTAGTCTATGCGATCACAAACTACATAGGCACCAGATCTGATCTGTGTATCCCTGTGAGCTCCCGGCTCCTCTGGAGTGGTGCCCTGGCCCATCAACAGGACACAAAGGCCTAGCAGAGCTCAAGCTTCACCAGGGACTGGCTCCCCAACATCACCCAAGCACTTGGGAAAGTCTCCCTGACATTGTTGGGCTGCTTCTAAACATGGTGCATCATTCACTCTCCCTTTCCTCTAAAACGAAACGAAAAACCCTTGGTCCAGATATAAAAAGAATAGATGTGAGGACTTTCGGAAAGGAGGAAGAATATCTTTGGCATTGCAGAAAGTCAAGGGCATCTGGCCATGCATCCTCAGGATGCCAGGACAACAGCAGGTAGAGGGGCAACCGCTGGCTTGTCTCCCAGCAAGCATCATCTTAGCAAACGGAATCCAAGCCCATCCCTGACATACACTCCCTTCCCAGTCCACCCACACCCTGGAGCATTGCAAATGGAAAGGAATGAAGGCATCTGGCTTTAGCACTAGAGCATCCTTATTAATATGTGAGGGAACAGGATCAACCCATATTGCTGGAGGAAAGGTGGGCACCATAAACAAAGCCACACGTGAGCTGGGATACTGGATGACTCACTTCCTCTCCACTGCTCCACACTGACAGTAAAATGAGACTGTGTTGCCTTCTGTTGCTCCACTGATTCCAGCCCTGATTTTCCTCATTTGGAGCAAAACTTTCAGAGACAACAGCCTTCAAGGCAAGAACCTTGTTACGCTCTTCCATTCCCTCTCAACTGCTTTGGACAAGGGCAAGCAACCACACTGTTCCCCCAAATGAGGATGATGGTGCTGCAAAGAGCAGTCCTAAATGCTATTGAAAAGGACAAGCTGAAGAAAGGCAGGCACCCACAGTGCCAGGTGCAGGATGGGTGTCAGGGTGCTGGGTGCCAGGGCCTTCAGAAACCGGATGCTTTTTTCATCCATGGAATAATTCTCAAGGTAAGAAAATTCAGCTCCTTTTACAGATGTGGAAACTGAGGCTCAGAAAAGTCCAGCGACTTTCCAAACAAGCCCAGATAATGAACAGCAGAACCATGTCCACCTGAGGTCCATCTGGTTTCAAAGAGTTCTGCGCTCTCCCCTTTGCCCTGTTTGGTCTTGTCGGGGGAGGGCTGGGGAAAATGCTCCTCGCGGCAGACCACATGAGAATGGTGATGTCTGGCTTTCCCAAGCTTTAAAAACTGTAACTCTGGAAGAAGAGAGGACATCTCTGGACATTGAGGATTCCTTGGAAACTGACGCACTCTCATGTGCATTCACCATTCGTGGGGCACTCACAGCCTCTCCTCGCACCCACACTTCACCCCAACAAAGCAGGGCTAGGCCCTTTCAAGCATCCCAAGTCTCAGCTCCTACACTTATGTTCCTATAAGGGCAACACACTGCCACACAAAATCTGAACCTTGGCTATAGTGACACCTGTATCAAGTACTGTGCCAGACTGCACAACGTGATGGTAAAAACCTAGACCATCTACAGAGAAAAGGACAATTTTGCAGTTTGCTGGTAGAAGTGTGGGCTGGCATGATATTTCTGGAATGGCAATTTGGTGAGGAGAATCAAATGCTTTTAAAACACGCATACGCAGCAGTGGAATTTATCCTACGGAATTACTGCATTTCCGAAAAGATGTTTGTACAAAGATTTTTCAGGGCAACAATGTCTAATCTAGCAAGAAATTGGAAACAATCTAAATGCCCAACAATCAAGAAACATCCAGGTAAATGATAGTATTAGATGATGAAATATCATGTTACCATTAATACTGGGTGGGGTTTTTTGCATTTTTAATTTTTTTATTATTATTAGCATATTCATTACAAATCATAATCAAAACATCCAGGTAAATGATAGTATTAGATGATGAAATATCATGTTACCATTAATACTGGTTGGGGTTTTTTGCATTTTTAATTTTTTTATTATTATTAGCATATTCATTACAAATCATAATCCTTCCCCATGCCCTCCACCTGACCTATCACTCCCCAACGCCCCTCTCTCCCTCCTCCCATCTCTGTTATCCTTAGCTTTGTTCTCTCCTTCTGAAAGTTCAATGTATTATTGTGTTTTAAAAGAGCATTTATTGCTAAGAAAATGTTCATGGTAAAAAAGAGGTAGCCCTGGGCTGTGAGCCAGCCTGGGTTCTAGAGTTCTGTGTGAATTTGAATCCCAGCTTCACTGCTTGCTGGCTGTGTGAGTGCAGGTAAGTTGCTTAACATCTCTGGGCCTCAGTTCCACTGGAAATAAAATAGTCTGTACCTCACAGAGTTCTGATGAGGATTAAATCCTTCAATATATGTGCCATACTGAGAGCCTTGCTTGGTATATAGTAAATGCTAAATGAATGATAGCCAATATTATACTGTTTAGTGAAAAAGAATCTGCTATAATACAGTATTGACATTGTGATATCCTTTTAAAATTACCACGTAAAAGCTTTATGTTTATGAAGAATCAATACCAAGCACCAAATAATAACAATGGCCATCTCTGGGCAGCGCCACCATGAGTGACTTGTGTTGGATTTTTAAATATCTGTGTTGCACATGTTTCCTGTGCTTCCGCAGGCCCTTCTCTTGTGATTGCCGATGTCCGAGGGTAGTGCTGGAGATGCAGCCTCACTCCTTGAGCATAGACTCGTGAAAAGAGTGGAGTGCTGGAGGAGGGTAAACCACTGCTCATCCCAGCCTTCAGTGAAGCTGCAGTCTCAGGGCTCAGAGTCGCTTCCTCAGGGGACTACTGCCAGGGTGAAGTCACAGATGCAAGGCACAGAGTGGGGCTCAATGCAAGCTCTGCCACCTTCTCCTTCCTCCCATCCCCAGCTTAATCAGTCTGTCAGCTGCAATTGAAGCTTCTTCCCCCACCCCCACCCCTCCTGCCAGTCATTTCTCCACCTGCACCAAGTCAGCAATACACTCTGAGTGTGCAAATGAGTATGTGCATATGCGAGAGTGTGTGAGAATTGTGTGTGCATGTGTGTGAGTTGGGGAAAATGTGTGTGTGGTTGTGTAAGTGTAGAGTAATGTGAGGGTGTGGGTATTTGTGTGTGAGTGGGTGTGTGTGTAAGTGTGAGGGGAATGTGTGCGTGTGTGTGTGTGCACAGGTGTGTACGTGTGTGACTGTGTGTGAGAATGTGTGTCCATGTGTTTGCATGAGAACTCGGTGAGTGTACTCATGTCTGTAAGTGCAGGGGGATGTGCATAAGTGTCCGTAGGTGTGTAAGTGTTATGCATGTGGAAATGTGTGTGAGTGTGTACAGGTGTGTAAGTATGTGTGAGTGCATGTGTGTGAGAGAGAGATTGTGAGCAACACAGCCCCCAGGGAGAGAGCGGAGAGGTGAACTCAGGTACCAAGCACTGGAGAACCGGGGAGGGTGCAGGAAATGGCCTTTCAGCTGGAGACAGGGAGCCCACCTGTCCTTAGTCTCTCAGAGCGATGGGGACACATTGTCCAAGACGGCGTGAAAATGTAAGGTAGACCATCAGTGAGGCACTCAGAGGCTGCTCCCA